GGAGGGCCAGGGGTTACCTCTGCCCTCTGAGTCCCACTTACATGTGCTGGACTTGTAACCCCCTCACCTACACCCCCTACTCGGAGCCTTTTAAACAGCCTCTGACACTCTTTTAAAACAGATTTCTCCCAGCCTCAGGCCTTGGGGGTGAGGTTCAGGGTCCTAGAGACAACCCAGCAGAGACACCGCTCCCTGATACCCTCCCTGTGTTTCCAAAGAAATGTTAGCTTCCCTGAGCACAGCAACTTCCTCCCCTGACTGCCTGTGGGGGGCAGCCTTACCCCACGCACCGGCTGCAGAGCTTGGTGGAGCCCAGTTGTTCAGAGGGTTAGGTAGGGGCTCTGGGAGCAAGAGACAGAAGAGCTGGACCCCCTCCTTCCTTCTCCTGGGCCTGTGGGTGGGGAGCAGACAGAGGACCTTGGCCCGAGGGTAACCAGGGGTACAGCTGGGCACTTGGATGTGGGTGTCAGGATTCTGAGGGGCACCTTAGGCTGAGCCAGAGGACAGGTCCTCACCCATAGTCCAAGGCTCTCCAGTGCCAGGCTGTGGCCATGCTAGGCCTCCCTCTGTAGGGCCCTGGTGGGTGTCCTGAATAGGACAGGCAGTTTGGATGCGGCAATGGGGAGAGGAGGTAGAGAGCCAAGCAGCTGGCTACCTGGGTGGGAGAGAGGGGAGCCCTGTGGCAGGGTGTAAGGCAGGGAAAGGCCTACATCCAGCCTTTGGCCGCCTCACTGTCACCCCCTAGGGCGTCCAGTCCCAGGCACCCAGAAATGCAGGGGGTGGCAGGGCCTTTGGGCTCAGGAAGACTAGGCTGGGGTGGAGTGGAAGTAGCAGGGAGAGGGGAACAAGAAGACAGAGCTCTAATCCTTACCAGCCAGGTGACCTTGGGCTTTCTGGCCCTCCATCTGGTGTGCCAGTGCGTGTGAGGATGCCTGTCCCCTGGGGCTGCTGAATTAAGTGGGAAGTGAGGAAAGTGCTGGGCAGGTAGTAGGTGCTCACCAGGGGCAGCTCCCCCTGGCTATCTTGTCTGGAAACGCCTACTTCCTGATCTCCATTCTCTCCCTCCTGTGGTTCCATGGTTAGAGCAGAGCAGCACACAAGCTTCTGTCCTGCTTCACAAGCCTGCTGCAGCCACCTACTGGCTGGATGTCCTCAGGCAACTTATATAGCTTCCCTGTGCCTTACTCTTTTCATCTGTAAAATGGGGCAATCATGGTTCACAATTCAGAAGGTTGTTCTGAGGAAAAAAATAAGTTTTAATATACATAATGTGCTTAGAACAGTGTGTGCCCCATGTGAGCACTCTAAGGGTGTATACCATTGTCACTATTAAGTGTCATTGTCCTATACATCTGCACAACCCTCACCTCCCTGGAGCTGCTTGAGTTTCCCACAGCAGCCTCTCAGACTACCAGGAGTCCCACCCATTTTATGGGTGAGCACATGGAAGCTCAGAAGATGAAGTGACTTGCTCAAGATCACACTGTCCCCTTCCTTTAAAAATGACATGTAAGTCCTTTTCAGTGTGTGTGTGGACTTGAGTACCCTCCAGCTCACGTTCAACCTGGGGCCTCTGATGAGCCCAGGCCCTGAGCTCTGGGCCAGTGAGGATGGCTCTTCTTCCTCCCAGTTGCCCAGGGGTGGGGCTCTCAGTGCCTGCAGGCTTGGTGAAATGGAAGCAGACGGTAGGGAGGAGGGGGGAGGCTTGGTGGCTGGAGCAAGAGGTCAGGGTGAAGTGCGCTGTGGGCAGTGTTGGGAGTTCCAGCTGCCCCTGAGGCCCTGGGCTTCCTTTTCATTATCACTTGCAGGTAGCTGGGCACCCACCCGCCTGGGGCAAGGCTTTCATGACAGGTGAGGCTTAGCTTGGGAGGCCAAGAACTGACTCTGTAATTGACCAGGATGTTTCACCTTTGATGGTGTCCCTTGGCAGTCTGAGTCCCCATGTGAGGGTGCGGAAGGGCCCTATTGGTGTCAGGCAAGCTTCTGGTCCTTTGAGTCATGGACTCACACAGAGCCTCAAACCCACATAATGGGGGGTGGTGGGGGTCACTTCATGGTGGAGGTGAGGTGTGAAAGCCCAGGGAACAGGTGTGGATAAGAACCTGTACTCTAGAGTCAGGCGGGCCTGATTTGAGTACCGGCTCTGCCACTTAATAACTGTGTCACCCTGGTCACCTTCATTAACCCCTCTGATCTTCCATTTCCCTGTTGGAAAATGGGGCTGATGGTATCCTTGTGACATAGTCATCATGAGGAGTAAAAAGGACAATGGGTGTAAAATCTTGGTGCAGCTCCCTGCACCCTTGTAAGTGGCTGATTAAATGTTGGCTACCCACAGCCTATGAATGTGCTGGGCTCTGAGTACCCAGACTGCCCGGCTCCAGGGTGATTCTGCCCTTGGCCGCTTTGCAGTGCTCAATCTACAAAGGCTCGAGAACCACCCTTCCTGGGGGCTCCTACCCCAGGGAAAACCGCTTCTCCACCCAACCTTTATTGAGCACCACTGTGTGCTGCCACTGTGCATGCCACACTGAGTAAGACCCTGCTCTGCCAGCAAGGAGCTCAGTCTCCTGGGCCTATAGCTATATCACGGGGTGATGGGGATGGCAAAAGAGGGGGCATCAGTGGGCACTGAGTGGGGAATGATGAGCCCCAGGGGTGGGTGTGAGTAACTTAATGGAGCTGTGAAGCCATCCACATCTGTGCTGTGCATTGAAGTTTTAAGAGAGATTTTGGGGTAGGGTGCGTGGAGTGGTTTTCCCAAAGGCGAAACAGCATTTACAGAGACCTGGGGGTAGAGAGTCTAGGCAGGTCCTCCTCTTTCCCAAGAACACTCAGAAAGGCTCCACCTACAGCGCAGGGACACATCCTGGGCTGGGGCGTGCAGAGCTGGGTGGGGCTGTTCTGGGAAGGCCCCTTTTCTTCAAGAGGCAGTGGGAGGCCAGGTTTGACAAGACTGGTGACAGGATCAGGGAGCTTGGGGAGGGGCTCTTCTGTTTGGCAGAAGGAGGTTTTTTAAACAAAACAGAAACAGTAACTTGCGGGCAGAGGGGGAAAGCATGTCCAGTCTCTGCCCCCTCCTCCTGTGCTGGGTCAGAGGGTGAGGACTAAGGGGGGTACCTAGCTCCTTACCTCTGGTTGGGCTGCAACCCTGGGGATGAGGGTGTGCAAGATGCTGAGATACTCACCTCATGTGGTAGAGGGGCAGCTGCCAACCTGAGCCTGGGAGCCCAGTGTTCAGGGGAGTGAAGGACCCACTCCTGGAGCTGGGAGGGCCTTTTAATTAGCTTTACAAGAGGCCTCCGTCTCCGCATCTCTCTCCTTACCATGATTCCCTGGGGAAAGAAAGTATGGAGGGGAGACACCTGCAGCTATCCAGAGACTTCCTCCAGATTCTTTCGCCTGCAGCGTTTGCCTAGGCCCTGCTTTCTCACCTTGCCTCTTGTCTCCCCTGGAATGAGACCCTCAGGACCAGAGCTGTGGGGAGGAAGACAAAGTAGGAGTGGGGTGCCTACCTGCCAGCTGCAGAAGCTGGATGTTTGTGTGGAGGGGATACTGGGTGGCAGGAAGCATGAGGATAGGCTGCCGTATACTTCCTAACACGGCCACTTACTGGCTGGTAGAGATCTGGGCATGGCCATCAAGCCTCTGAGCCTCAGTTTTGGAATCTACAAAATGGGATAATAATGCTCACCATCCAGAGTCATTTCAACGATAAAACAAGGTGTAGCTAAGGCATCTAGCAGAGTCCAGTCTTCAACTCTGACTCATGCTGGCCTAGATGATGTCTAGAAGTGTCAGATGAGGGGTTGGCCCTTGAGAATTCTGTTAACAGGTGAATGTGTTACTAGATAAGGCCACCAGCCTTTAGAGTATATGTATCAGTTTTCAAATCAGCAAAATAGGATTAATAGTACTACCTGCCTCATAAGGTTGTGTGGATGAAATTAATTATATGTAACAGTGTCAGGCTCATAGTTCTTAATAAATATTTGCCATTATTACTGACTTTATTATTACTGTTAGTTAGCTATTGAGGCAAACTCATGGAGCCTAAGGATTTGGCCGAAGATATCAGAATTGGATCTGGAATGGGACTTGGCCTCAAGGAGGCAGGAGGCCACAGAGACCATTAACTCTGTTTATGGACAGAACCTAAAACAGGCGTCTAGAACCTCCGGGCTGTGCAAAGGCCAGGATGGGTTGTCAGGTCTGGGGTTGGTGTGCATGGGGCTGGACTGTGGCTCACCATACTCCCCAGAGTTCTGCCAATGTATTTCCTTCTCATCTTGGGTTCCAGCCAGAAGGGGCAGGTTAAGGTGCCCATGCCAGGGACATCTGTATCCAGGCATCTCCACACTGGGCTCCCACTTGTCTGGGCTCAGAGGAGCAGGCCCAGCTCTGGGGGGAGAGGTGATGTCAGAGAAGTATGCCTTCCATCCCATCTAGGACTTCACTTTTTCCCCACTCGAGGCCGCTCCCCTTCTCATTTTAGGGGCTGTGCTGGGAGAGGCTACTGGTGGCTGCCAGTCAGGACTTGGGAGGGAAACAGCAGCCTCTGGGTCAGCTGAGGCTCAGATCTAGCTGGCATTTGTGATAATGACCCTTCTTACTAAGCATCTGTTTGCATTCTTTCATTTATGGGATAGTAAGACTTTGTGGGGGTGGGGGGTCACCCAAACCCTTAACTCTGTCCACAATTGTGGATAATTCAGAGTTGTGTCTGCTGGACCAGTGGAAGGGGCAGTGGAAGCCAGGATGCTGGGGGCAGTGGGGTCCCTGAGAGAGAATTCATCACAGGGGCTGAACAGGTCTGCTCCTGTGGTCTGACTGCTGCAACATGCTTGATGGCCCAAGGGCAGTGGTTCTTGAACAGGTGTGTGGCTCGTCCTCAAACCCTGCTAAGCCCAATGACGTTATAGCCTGAGTGCCTACAGACAGAAAAAATCAAGAGTGTTGACTGAAAAAAATCATTTTATTTATTCTCTAACCCTTTGCAGCCCAAGCAACACTTTGGTGGGACCCCTCCTACTGGCACCTGAGCATAACATGGATGAAGGGAACATTCTTCCAGCCCTGGAGGAGAATGCTGAGCTCTTAAAGCACAGTGCCTGCTACGAAGTAGGTGCTCAAACTTACTTGGTTAAAATAACGAAAAGATTAAAAAAAACCCACCTCATTAGCGAAGTGTTTGTCATAGCAAATGTACAGAGCAGTTGAGAGAGTGGAAACCCAGACCTGTCCACGAGTGAGACACTCCTTGGAGCTCCCAGATGTGGCAGGGAGTTTGCAGGGGACTGAGATCCTGAGTGGCAGATAGCTGTTAAGAACTAGCAATATCTGGATATTGTTGGTGCCACTCACCCTCAGAGGCTGGTGAAGAAGGGCCCTCTGAGTGTTTTCTGAATGAAGGAAAAGGTGGCTTGCCAACAGAAGAGTTGGAATCTAGGTGGGGGAAATTCAAATCATTTGGTAATGCTGAAGGAAGCATTCCATCTTTGTGACCCACTTGTTTATGAACTCTTCCTTTCTCTTTCCTGCTAGGCTCACTGATATACTAGCCTAAGTGTGTTCACTGGGCTCTTGATATCTGGTTCCGGTCCCCCGGTGAGGGAGGATCACAGGCTATCCAGGGGCCAGCCTATGGGAATCATCTCTGATGGAGACTTGCAAGTCCAAACAAGCCAGAAAAGAGTTATTTCCCATCCTCCTTTCTCATCTTCTGGTACCCCAGTGCCCTCATCATCTTCTCCCTCTCCTTCTGCTCAGCAGTATGAGATCAAAGACTGTGAATTATTCATCCACAGTTGAGTGGAATGCATTTCAAAGTCAGGGCTGCTGGGAATCTCCTCTCAGAGGTGCCAAGGGTGAAGGCCCCACTGTTGGGTCCACCAGCTCTGTCCTGAACCTTCCCACCGCCCATTTCCTGCCTGACTTTTGCCTGATGAGATTTGCCTGCCTCACCGTACCCCAGAGGGAGCCTAGTATCAGTGTCACCACCTGGAGCGTGGCTGTGGGCTCCAGGGCTGCTGTTGCCCAGGAACCCTGGCTGTCTCTTCCAGTGGGAGCAGGCAGTCTACACTTTTGAGAGGAGTGCCTAAGATGTGCCAAGCTTTGGACACATAGTAGTGCTAACAGCTGCTACAACAAACTTGGGAGGGAGACAGCAGCCTCTGTGTGTGTTCTGTGTGTCAGGCATTCTTCTTAGTATTTTATGTGTTATGTCTCTACCACAACAACTGTATGGGGCAGGTACTGTTTCTGTCTGATTTTATAGATGAGGAGAATGAAGCTCAGAGATGATGGATGATAGATGACTTTCCTAAGGCCACACAGCCTTAGTAGTCAAGCTGCGATTTGAATTCAAGCAGTCCGATGCCCGAATCTGCACAGTGTACCACTCTTGTTAAAACATACGCTAATTAATGTGTCCTTACAATGACCCCACGTACAGATGAGGAAACTAAGGTCTTGAGAAGAAAAGTGACTCATTCCAGGTCATGTGGCTAATGAGTGGCAGAGCCAAGATCTGAATCCAAGACCTTCTAATTCAGAATCCATGTTCTTTCTACCACCTTCCCTGAAACCGATGAATAAGTTGACATTCTAGACATCCCTTATGAAGGGAGGAATGGAAGAAACACTTGCAGACCCAGGGAGCTTCAATCTATGTACTGGTCTGTGGTGGGGGGTGGCAGGCAGCAGGGAGCCATGGCTGATGGACCCAGGCTCTTTGGAATTTGAAATGAATTTTAGTATATGGATCTGTGATATGGATTCAGTCTAACACCACCACCATTTAAAGATTCAGAAGAACTGACAAAGGAGAAAAACGTAATACACTTCCTATGTGAGCTGTTGCTTACCATTAAGAGTTTATCTCTAAGTTGCAGAGTAATCATAACACACAACACCCATGTGTGGCTGATTCACTTTAAGTTTTATTTGATCACAGCATGAAAGTATGTGCATGGCTTAGGGTGCAGCTATACGGCTGCTTGCTTACAATTGAAAAAATAGAATTAGAGGACCAGTACGGCCCAGGAGCATCAGATAATGAGGTCAGTGCTTTAAGAGACTGTTAATCAGCAGAGGCCATTTGTGTGGCCCCTTCCAGTGTGCGAAGCCACTCTCCGCGTCACCTTAACGGCCATTGCAGCAACCTGGGACTCTCTTCCCATGGTGGCAGTGGTCAACAGTTTTGGCCATTTAAAGGATGGGGAGAAAGGGGAGCAGGATGGAGACAGTGTTTGGTTTATATAAAAACTGTGAATGTGGGAGTAAGAGGGTATGTGTTTGATTTTTTAAGACAAATTAAAAAACCTAATCTTATGTTGTGCCTGAATTTGAATAATACTAATCTTATTTATGTTTTTTTTGGGGGGGTGAAGGGGTGCTTACTATGTGCTGGGCACTGTGCCAAGTGTTTACAGAGCAACCTTATCAAGTAGGGAAAATTATTAGCCTCATTTTACAGATGAAGAAAGAGGCCGGGAGAGGCAAAGTGTACTGTTAGCGAGAGAAAGAGCTTGGCAGTCCGATTCTGGAGCCTGTCTTTCTTGCTAGGCTGCCGAGCAGCAGAGCCTCTCTCAGCAGCACCAACTTCCCCCTGCAAAAGCCCAGTGGGCAGTGGGAAGGGGGGGTCCTCTGACGGGGTGGGACCTGGCTATGGCGGCCTTGCTGTCCCACTTAGCTTCCCTGGGGCTTCCAGAGCGGAGCAAATAATGCATCCTCCCAAGGGAAGAGGTCTGGCTTGTCCCAGACCATGTGTCACGCAGTGTCTCTAAGACACACTCTCCTCATCTCTAAAATGTCTTCCGGGTCTGTCTCATAGGGCTATTGTGGAAAACTCCTTGTCAGCTGTGAAGCGCTTTTGAGCTATCCATGGGTAGGAGGTAGCAGTGAGCAGGGCAGAGAGAAACCCTCCCAAGGAGAAATAGGCTGGGACAAGGTAGGGAGCAGGCAGCCTGAGACCTATGGCACAGGGGCCTTTGCACATGCTGTTCCCATTTCAGAAATGGTCTCCCCTCTCCTCTTCCCATGACTGAGTCTTTTAAAACTTTCAGCTGTCAGCTTAAATGTCATCTTCTCAGAAGGACACTTTCCCCTCCCACCCTGGTGGACTAGCCTGAGCCCCTGCCTCTGTCGGCCCTGGGGGCTTTTGCTCATTCTTCTACTTCATCCCAAACTTGTCTACAAGACCCAGACCTATCTGTGTATGAATTATTCAGGCAGAGGCTGAGGGCCCATTTTGGGGATAAATATTCCAGCAAAAGCTGTTTGGCTGGAACACAGAGAGAGTGGGCTGGCATTCAATGTTAGGAAGTGATTTCCTATGGTAATTAAATGCTCACACTCCTGTGTGTGTGTGTGTGTGTGTGTGTGTGTGTGTGTGTGTGTGTGTGTGTGTGTGTGTGTGTGTGTGTTGGGAGATGTATTTTATCAGTGTCCCCACCCAGGGTCTAACCCAGCCTGTGTTACACCAGAATCCTGGGTCTAAACAGAGCCCCATCTCTCCCCTGACTTGGGGGAGGAAGGGTGTTGTCAACTGATGTTTTCAATTAAAAAAGAAAAAAAAGAGTCATGGCCTCTGTGAGGTTTCATGAGAAATGGTGGCAGCAGCAGGGTTGAGGAGAGCTGATTACGTAGCTGTGTTTAAGCTCTCAGCTGGGGACGGATGGCTTCCATAAACCCGCTGAGGGCCGAGCCCCCCACTGCGTTTGCTGGTGAAGATGCAGCTAGGGGCCATTTCTCAAGTTCACGGAGGAAGGGGGCAAGCAGGTGCTCAGGATGAGGGGCTGCCGTCGGGTGGGGGGCCGCGTGGGGTGGGGAATAGTTGTGTAGAGGGCCCTTTCTATTCTGGAGCACACGCTCAGCCTCCACCCTCCCAGGGACTGGCCTGTGGGCGTCACTTCATTGACAAATTCTCACCCCGTCTCTGCTACAGATGTGTAGCAGAGTTGGTCCCCTTGTCTTTCTGCACTTGGGTTTTCAGTCTGTAAAAATTGGAGGAAGCTTTGGAAATGGATGGTGGTAATGGTTGCACACAATTAAAAATGGTTAAAATGGTAAATTTTGTTATGTGTATTTACCACACACACACACACACACACACACAATTGTAAAAGAAAAGTCAGGTGTATCTGAAGTTTCCTTTCAGCCTTAATGCTCTGTGGATTGGTGAGCCTGGATGCCTGGATTCCAGGAAATGCTGGGGCCTTATCCTTATTCCAGGAACAGGCTGTGTGATGTCTGCTGCATCCATCTCTCTCTCTGATTCCACCTCCTTTGGGGGTGGCAGAGTGTCTTCTCCAGACCTGGCCACTTGCTTCCCCTCACTGTTTTCTGTGAGTTTCCTACCATGCCCCTGATGTTTCTCCCTTCTCCAGAGTCTGGATGCCCCCCTCCTCCCTTCAGTAACCCCACAAGCACTCTTTTCAGCCTTTGGTGGCTTCTCCTGGGGGCTGAGGGGCTCTGCTTGCCTGGTCACTGAGCCATTGAAAACTTCATGGATAATTCAGGAACACAAACCAAACAGGAGGCTGGAAGCTCTGGATTTATGAAGAAAGATGAGTCAAATGTGGCAATTTATGAGCAGCTCAGAATAACAGCACAGTGAGGGTAGGGGAAGGCTGGAGGACTGGTCTGAAGGGCTGGGGGCACAGTTGGGGGAGTCAGAGGTGGAACAGGGGCTGGAGAGAGTGTAGGGAGCCCAAACCTTAGACCAGACTAATAGCTTTGTGAAAAGATGTCTATGCCCTAGGCAAATGGGGCAAGTGGAGTCCAGTAAGGGGTAGGAACTTCTCAGGCATCAGAGGAAGTAGTCAGTTCACTAATCCTAATTCCATCTCCCTGTGGCCTGGGCCTTAGCTGGGTATCAAGGAGAAGGGAGGTGGGGGGCCATACGTTCCAGGCTTGGGGGTCACTAGGTCAAAATTAAAAGGCTCTGCTGGCCTGAGAGAGAAGGAGAAAGAACCCCAGTTGTCCAAGAGGCTTCTTTTTGAGGCTCTTTCAGTCTTCGAAGGGGCATCCTCAATCAGAGGTGGTGGGAAACTTCACAAAAATCCAACTCTAGGAGTCCAGAGGGACATCTCCAAAGCCATCCTCAAGGTCAAAGCTCCAGAAATGTATGGACCCCAGCAGAGGTGGGATGGGGATCTGACTGGTTTTGTTCCCATGGCTCATCAGTAGCTGCTGGTCCCTGCCACTTTCCCAGCATGGCTCCTTCTGGATAGCCCCACCTGCTGTCCAGCTTCCTCTGCCTGGGATGGACGCCAAGAAGTGCATTTGTAGGTATGTGGGTTAATAGAAATGTCTTTGTCTGAGGATCAGGGGTGGAGAGACCAGGGATGAGCCCCATGTAGACATTGCTTGTCAATGTCTAGGGTGACATGGAACAAATCATATCACTTCATAGGGTTCAGTTTGCTCATCAGAAAAATGGGAATAGTAGTCACTTCCATCAGCTCTTTTCATAACTTATAAAGTTGTAGTAGGTGTGATATAAAATTTTGAATGAATTTGTGCTTGGTATCCTCTAAAGTGTTATGTCAAGATTCTTCTCTTAATTTTCCATGGAAATCTACCCTAGTTACCTCTCTTTCCAGGGCTTTAGATTCTCCATGTCTGAAATGAAGAGATTAGACCAAGTCAACTCTTGATCCCCTTCCAGCCTGAACAAAATCTGACCCTATGGCTGTTTAGGTATCTCAGTTCCTGATCAATATGTTCCTAGTTGAGGGT